CCTCCCCTCCTCTCCTCCTCATCCTTCCTTTCTCTTCTAGATCACACTTCCATTCAAGACCTCCTTGCAGGCATTTTGACTGTAGCCACACGGCAGGGAGCTCTCTCTCTCAGAACGCTGAGAGTTCTGCACACAAACGCAGGAAGGGAGCGCAGGGCTCTGCTGCTGACGCACTGTCCTGGGTCCGTGAGCACAGCACGTTTCCACTGGGTGGGCTAGTGTCTTAAAGTAATGCATGTGCGCATATGTAGTCACGTCCCCATGAATCCCTTGTTACTCAGCTGTGACAGAAGCATGTTTGTAACTACCACGTCATGACCATGCCAAAGGAATTAGCCATAGTTCTTTAATTTATTCTGATACTCAAGCCTTGTCACAGTTCCTCAGGTGTTTCAAAGATGTCACCGTGCAGGTAGTTGAGGGGTTGGGGTTAGGCCCCAAACAAAACCCTCACATTGCATTTTACAGTTAAAGTTATTAATTCTAGTTTCTTTTATAATAGCTCACATTACTTTCTCTTTTTCTGTCCAGTCCCACTGATTGGTGGGAGAAATGGCACCATTTGCCATATCTCGCTTGGCTGATTCCCCCCTTGTGGGACCATTTAACTTGTTACCCAGTTCCTGTATTTCTTGTAAATAAACGAGTGCTGTCCAGGAGTACTTTCTAGAGCAATGGAAATGTCGGTATCCAAATGTCCTATACAGTGTCCACATTTGGCTCTGAAGCACTTGAAATAGGGCTAGTGTGGTGAAGGAACTTAAATTTAAATTTTATTTTAACTGTGATGAATTTGGACTTAAAATTAAATAGCCACATGCAGTGGCTACTGGGCTGGATAGCTCTGGGCTAAAAGCTTCACTGGATACTGCTCGCCACCTAAGCGGGATGGCGCGGTGGATATGCTGTGGCACACAGCCCCACTGCGTCCGCTTCACCGATTTTAGAGAGGTGGAGGCTGATGGTGGGCTGGGGGCTCCCTGCATCGGTAGTTCCAGCTTTCCGTCAGCCTCAGTCGAGAGTGTGACCCGTGTTTCTGCCAGTCCCTCGAAAGAAGACACCAGTGCGATTTTTCCATTTGCAGTATCTCTAGAACTGCCCTGAGTTGAGATGGCATTTTTAAAAAATTTTACTTTAAGGAGAATTGAAAAAAAAAAAACCCAGCAATAGCAAAATGCCAACAACATAGACAAAAACCAAAGCAAAAACAGTAAGCATGATACAGGGTTTCAGAACAAAATGATAAGGATTAACAGTGGCTGTGCCTTACATATTTTTATCTTTACGGAAGTTGGCCAAATGACCAGATGTAAGAATGCAAGATTAACCAAACCATTAAACAGAATGAAAAGCAAAAACAAAACAATTATCAATGATACAGAATTTCACCAAAGAGGTGGCATTTTTTGAAGGGCGGTCGCTCTTCAGGTCCCTGCCCTCATCAGGGCCTGACAGACTGTGTTTCTCGTGTGTAGGAGGAACCATCGTCTCGCACCAGAGTATGTTCTGCTCGGCAGCCAACTGCAGTGGGGAGACAGAGTCATTCCTGGCCTTCACCGTCCGTGTATCTGATGGGGAAAGCTTCGATTTTTCAAGCCGGTGCTGCCAAGAAGACACGTGCAATGGCACCTACGCTACCCTGGGTTTGTGCTGGTTGGGGGGCAGCCCTTCCTGTATCCCTCAAGCCCAGGCCATTTGCCATCTGTGCTCCTGGCCCTCGTGTGACTGTTCAGAGTCCAGGAAGTTCAGGGCACACCCGGATAACGCACACATCAAACTTAGATAAACTAGTCCCACGACCCTGCTTCCCCCTTTGCTCAGTGAAGACAGATGTCACAGGGCTCTGACTTGTGCGAAGCGGGCATGAGATGCTCATCAGTGTTTTCAGATGCAGTCCCAGGTCCTCTGTTACAACCCTAAGTCTTAAAAATTATTGAGGATCCAAAAGAACTCCTGTGATGTGGATTCCATCTATCCATACTTACTGTCTTAGAAACTAAAGCTGAAAAATTCATGAATCTTAATTAGTTCACTCCAAAATAACAATGATTACACCTTAACACCAGTAATGCTTTTACGTAGAAACACCTACATTTTCCAGAACAAAGATATGTAGTGAGAAGAGCAGCACAGCAGTCATGTATTTTTGCAGAGATCCTCGGAGTCTAGCTGAGAATGAAGTGGCTGGCTCTCCTATTTGCCCATGGGGCTGCAATCTCCACATCATGCAGCTTCTGGAAGCTGCCCCTCCATACACATGAGACAAAGGGAATGAGGGAGGAAAAGAATGTCTTTCTATTTTCCTGAATGTAGTTTGACTTTCAGACTTCCTGCGTAGGGTCTCAGATACTCCAGGGCCCCTGCACCACAGTCTGCAAACTGCTGATCTAGATAAATCCCTCTTTTTGAAGATGAGAAGTTGTGGCCTAAAGGGCAGGGTTCATTGGCCATCATCATGAAACATAGTAAATGAAGAGCGAAGCTTCTCAGTACTTTTATTTGGTACCTAGTTGTGATATTAAGTAACGGCCTGTGTTCATTAACTCACAAGATCTTGTAATGTACCCCGCTTGCTGGTATTCAGAATAGCTGGCTAATGAGAGGGACTGTAGGCTGGCACTGGCTTGAACCCTTAGCTCTGTCTTCTCAGTCTGCACCCAGGACACTGGGCACCGTTGCTCCAGAGACCGACTGTCTCCAAGCAGGGTCTGTGAGGAGGGGGTGTGTCGCTCTGATGAGGCAGGGTGCCTGGCTCTGAGATCCCAGCAGATGCAATTACCCATCCTCAGCATCTCCCGGGCAGTGTCTTCTCTGGCCTGTCCCTTCCCTGCCCCGGTCAGGGCCGTGTTCTGCATGCTAACACCGTCCTGAGTGATGATCCTTCCTGTGCTCAGATTCTCTGCCAGAAGATCTTTCCAACACGGAGTGCCAGTCTTGCTACGGGGTGAACGTCACATCCTGTATTGGGAGACCCCGGACATGTTACAGAGAAGAACGATGTGTCTCTCTCATTGCCCAATATAACAATGGTATGTGGGTGTTCCAGTTCATTTATGGGGCTTAAGCTGAAGCCATATCAGCCATCCTGGGGCCGTGAGCTCTAGATAACACAGAACTGCTGCAACGAGAAGGTTAGGGTCAGCATGTCTGTAGGATGGACTGTTCCTGAAGCCTTGAGCTGCAGCTCTTTCTGCCTTCTTCGTCCAGAGCTGCTTCATTCAGGCTGCCTATCTCTTGAATCTGCTCTCCTGTGGCTTAAAATCAAGCCATCCTTATTTAACTGCTTCACCAGATTCCTGACATTTCCTCCTAAGCCAGGTTGCCATCATGCTGTGGGTGTGAATGGGTGACTTTCTTTCCTTTTACACCTACTTTTTTCCCACCTGATGTGGGAGGTGCTGGCTTGTGGTAGCTTGGATCATGTAACAGAAAGTCAAATTGTGCCCTAAAATCCAACCACTTGTTCCTTCCTACAAAGGTAACTTGATACTAACTGTTCTGCGACCCCCACATCACAGGACTCTCGGGACAGACATTTGTTTCTTGCTCATGCAGCGGTTCATTTCAGAGTTCAGGGCGTGGGTCGCTTCTGTCCTGCAGCTCTGGTGCTCGATCACCCAGGACTTAGCATTCTCCCCCGTATCCCTTGCATCTCACCAGCAGGGAGGATCGGTGGCAAAGGGAGAGGCCTGGAAGGTTTTTCCATAATTCCTTCTGCACTCCCTGGGCTGGGACCCAGTTACAGGGCCAGCCTGGCTGTACGGGAGGCAGAGAAATATGGTCTAGAGGTGACCCAGAAGGAAAGAATGAGACGGACAGAAACTAAAAATGAGCAACCAGTCACCTCTCCTAAAATACAGCTCAGAGTAACGAGAGTTTCAGAGCACCAACGCCCAAGTACAATTTAAGCCAATTTTCGTTAAATGTTAATTCCAGTGTTTAACCGTAATCATGGATTTTTCAGTGGAGCAAAGAAATTTCTGTGAATTTCTTTTTACTTCTTTTTAAAAATAGAATGTTTTTACAGACATTTTAGATGGTTTAGAAGGCAGTGGGGTTTCCCATCAGTACCTGTACCACGTACATAATCTCCCGTTGTTAGCACCGCCCCCAGTGGTACATTCTGAACAATCGATGACCCTGAGTTGACACTATTGTGAGCCAGAGGGGTTCAGACAAACTGTAGTTTCACTACCTTAAAAGTCCTCTGTTCTCACTTCTGCCCAGAAGATGCCCGCAGCTGCTGATCTATCTACTGACTCTACAGTTCGCCTTAGCCAGAGTGTCTCACAGTTGGACTCACCGTGTAGCCTTTTCAAATAGCTTCTTTTCCTTACTAATGATATCTTTATGACTCTTTACTGTTTTTATTTTTGGTGCTGGTGGTTGAACCCAGGGCTTTGCACATGCTGAACACTGTCTTTCCACTGAGCTGCAGCCCAGCAAAAGCCCCTCTTTCTTTTAAAATCCCCGGCGTGTCTGTCACACAGCTATGGGTTTTAGTTCTAAATCAGAGTCCAAGGGTAGCAAAAACACAGAAGGGCTTTCTCTGTTCATCATGTTGCTGGTGTCCTTTGGTGTGAAGGGTGGAGACTTTCCCTCAGACTTTGGGTGAGGTTGAAGGCAGGCAGATCAAAGCCAGCCGAGATGAAATGTTTCTTGCTGGTTTTTGCCAAGGTCCGCTCTGTTTGTAATTCTGTTAGGGGTGTACCCACTGATGCCCATGCACTGACACTGGCTATGAAACCATAGATTGCTTTTTTCCTGCAATTCAGAAGTGCCGAGTCGCTTCACGTGCTTGGGTCTCCTTGGCCTTCTGAGCGCTTCCTGTGTACCGGGCTGTTTGAGCTGTAGCTAACAGGGCAATAGGAGCCTGTAGTAACTGTTCAGTAAAAAGTGCTGCTATGATAGCCCCACCTTTGCAAGCGTCCTAAGCCTTTCCTGGAACCTGAATCTCAAAGCATGACTCAACACAACTCAGACTTCGGGTAGAGACACCAGGTTTTTCCTACGTCTCTTCTTTTTGCATTTTCCTTTTCTCAGGGAAAACTCAGACGGAAGTCAGAGCCAGAGGGGTGGGGCTGACAGCAAACCTGGGAGAGGGGAGAGGAGATCGGGTGCAAGTCTCTTCCTGCATGGAGAGCATAGGGCTGCTTTCCAACCTGCCGGCAACCCAGGCACCCAGGAGGTCAACTCCAAGGTGCAGCTCTGGCCTTCCCTTTGAGCGGGGGCCCATTATCCACCTCTCAGCTTTAGTTTCCTCAGGGTTCAACGGAGGAGGCGTGCTGGCCTGACCTCTACAGTCCCTCTTCCCCTGCTCTTTGGTGTTCTGGGCTCCTGCATGGCTTTCAGGGTCAGACCAGCTTTTGCAGGTTGCTAAGTTCGTGCAGGCAGAACCCAGAGCAGACCAGGCAGGGTGGAGAGCGCGGACTGCGGGGAGTCCTTACCGCTGACTCGCATCCACAGCCACTGAGACTTTCCTGCTGAAAGGCTGCTCCAACATCAGGACCTCCACCTGCCAATTCCTGTCTGCCGGAAACAAGGTGGCCGAAGGACTCATCTTCCAGAAGTTCGAATGTACAGACGCCACCTCCAGACCAGGCACACAGCCCAGCCCTGGCTCCAGAGCCTTCCCCAACACCATGGCCCTTGCCAGCCTCTTTCTGCTGGGGCTGCTGCTCTGAGGTCCAGGGTTCTGTCCTGCCTGTGTCCTGTGGGTGCCGCTGTCATTGGTCAGTGGGTTGGAAGTTTCAAGACTGGCGCTGGTGTCCGCTATTAAAGTGTTGATGTTTTCACTGGCCAGTTCTGTGCTGATCATTCTGGGCTGGGCTGAGCTTGGTTTGAGCCACCATCCAGCACCACCTCCCGCTTCTGGATGGAAGTGGCATCCTTGCTGTTGAAATAGGGGATGCTTGTCACATAACTTGGAGGATGTTCTTGCTTCTGGCCCATCTTGCTTCTGTGAAGCTGACCCTTCACTGGTATCTGCTACTTGCAGCCCCCAACTACAGTCTCATCGCCACCATCTCCATACTCACACACGGGGTGCCCCAGCCGAGCCCCACAATACCCTGTGTTGATTGCAGTGCCGATATAGAAGCTACAGTGACTCTGGTCTTGACCAACATCAGGCGCTTCAACAATCATCTTGTGTGTGGCTAGAGGCCCACGGTGTGTGAAGAAGACAAGAATATCACTACAGGCTTCTCTGTCCTGTCCATGGGGGTTCCTACAGCGTATGTCAGAAAGGCTGCTGAAGGCAGAATTTTCCCTCCAGGGCTAACCTCCAGGCAGGGGCATCCTCAAGTTAGCTGGTGTTGCGGTGTAAATCTAGATGTCCCCCCCAAAGCCTCATGCACTCATAGGACGGTCCTTTGCAAGGTGGTTGGACTATAGGGGCCTTATAGCTGACTTGCTGTTAGGAGGTGTAGTCTGTTTAGAAGAGGTGGGTTGCTGGGGTGTGACCCGGACGAGTTTGTCTCCTTCCCCAGCTCCACCCTTGGTTCTTGGCTTCCTGTCCACCATGCTCTGAGCAGCTGTCCTCTGCCGTGGACCTCTGCCATGCCATGGCGCCATGGAGCCAGTCTACCACAGATTTAACCACAAGCCAAGATAGACTTCTCCTTCTTTAAGGTGTGGGTATTGGATATTGTGTCTCAGCAAAGAGAAAAGTGGCTAAGATAGTAGGCAAAAAAGCTAGGATCATGCCTGGGCTAAGGCAGCTTCCTACAGCCACATGCAGAGTAGACTGTAGATCCCCATCACTTCCCTCAGAGAACTTATAATCAAAACAAAGCCATCGAGGCCGTATCAAACAGCAAGAAATCCACTGAGCCAACTACACACAGAGGTTCAGATGTAATAAATAAGCTGGGCCTTCAGTTGGACTTGGATGAGTGCAGTTTGGTATAACAAAAATTTTTAAAGATGTAAAACAATATGGGTCTCTGCCATCCAGGATTCTGGCAATGTATCAAGAACAAAGCCATGATCAAGGCAATCTCAGGGCAAGTCATCATTGTTCACTTTCATCTATTTTAGCCTCTTATTTTGAAACAATTTTAGACTTGCTGAAAAGTTGCAAAAACAGTATAGAGTTCCAAGATTCCTCCCAATTTAGTTTTCCTCATGTGCTCATCTTACATAACCGAAATGTAGTTACTGAAGCCAAGAATTGAAACAATACTAGGGACCTATAGACTTTATTTATATTTCCATTGATTTTCCCTGATGCCCTCTTTCTGGCCCAGGATCCAATTCCTTTCCATCAGTTTTCATGTTTACTCTCTCTCTTTCAAAGCATAACTATTCTAGAACCTATTTTTAAAGAACTTGACCATTCAGTTTATTGGCCAGTTATTTTGCAGAATATCCTTCAGTTTGAGCTTGTTTGACACTTTCTCATGATGAGATTGAGGTTCCATCTACACACATTTGTTTAGTTTATTAGTACATGTGTGTAGTACATAATGTTTACATTCCAGGTGGAAAATTGGTACATGTACATGACACATCTTTATTCCCTTTCTGTCCCCTTTCCCTTCCCTCCTTCCTCTCCTCTGCTTACCCCATGACCCCCTGTCTTGTCTGGGTCCGTGCTTGCAGTGTATAACGTTCACATTCCTTGTGTGCAGTTTGTACAGCTGCGTAACATGCCCCAGTTCCTTTCATTTCCTTCCTTATCTTTTCCTTCCCTTCTCCTCCCTCCATCTCTTGATCCCTTTCCCCTCTGAGAACGAATTGTCTCCCTACTTCCTATTATCTATTTTTATTTTGCTCTTTACTTTCACTCTGGGTTTCTTATATAAGAGAAACAATGTGATATTTAAGCTTATGTGTCTGATTTATTTCACTTAACATTATAGTCTCAAGATATACCCATTTTCCTACAAATGATTCCAATTTCTTTATGGCAGAGAAGCGCTCCATTGTGTATGAATACCACATTTTCTTTATCCATTTATCTGTTAGTGGGTATATGCGCTGTTTCCAAGATTTAGCTGTTGTAAATTATGTTACTATAAACATGAACTACAAAAATAGACACCCCAAAATTTAATGACCCAGTCCAAACATGGGCATCTGAAATGAATACACACTTCTCAGATGAAGAAGTACAGACAGCAAATAAATATATGAAAAAATGTTAAGCATCACTGGTCACTTGAGAAATGCAAATTGAAACAACACTGAGATTCCGTCTCACTTCAGAAAGAATGGCTGTCATCAAAAATCACCCAACAACAAATGCTGGTGGGGCTGTGGGAAAAAGGAACCCCTCTCCATTGCTGATGGGAGTGTAAGTTAGTACAGCCATCATAGAAATCTGTATGGAGATTCCTCTCAAAGCTAAAACTAGCATTTCCATTTGACCCAGCTCCTCCCCTTCTAGATCTCTTCCCAAAAGAGTTAAAAGCATCATACTGCAGTGGTACATAATTGCTTTTTAAAAAAAGACTAGATTTTGCTGATATAACAAACAGATCTTTGTAAAAAAAAATCATACGGTGGAGATTTTTTTCTCAGGATCACAGCTATACAGATGTTCCTGATGCTTCCAGGTAGCTCTCCCTCTATCCCACAGTTCCACGTCCCCTGGGAATTCCAGACTCTCAAGTGAGTGCTGTGATGCACTTCTCTGGCAAGTCGAGGGAGAGGCTGCCCAGACAGCTATGTGGGAAGCCGTCGGGCCAGGCCTGGCAGTAACACCCATCACTGGCCAGAGCTCAGTCACAGAGCCTGGGAGAAAGTAGTAGTCTGTCCACATGCCCTCTGCAGGCTCTGTCTGAGAGGCAGCATGGCTCAGTGGTCAGGGGCATGGCTTCGAGAGCCAGAACACACAGCTTCAAAGCCAGCTATGGGCTTAGAGAAGCAACCTCACCCCTGAATACCTTAGTCTCCCCATCTGTGCAGTCGGGCAGTGACAATACCTGTCACATGAGGCACTTTGCGCTTAGCAAGGAGCAAGTGTTAGTCGTCAGCAGACGCCTTTGGTTTCCAAGCTGCTCTCTTCAGTGCAGTAGGGAGGGGAGACCCCAGACACAGTGATGCAGGAAGCTGAGCACTTGTCCACTTCCCCCAGACCACATGACTGCTCTGAGGGTGTAGTGCCTGTTTTGCCTCAAAATTTCCACTTCCAGACCGATGAGGAGCACTGACCCCATGATCACTGGGGCACCCGGGTGAGTGGCTTCTGTGCATCTCATCTGTACCTCCAGGGCTGATCCGCTCTAAGACCCTCCTGGAAGCTCCAGTGACCCTCTGTGGAGAGAAGCAGCAGCAGTGCATTTAGGGAGCAGCAGAGCCACACAAAAGGGCTTCCTGGAGGGTGCGGAGGGCCAGACCCTGAAGATTCTCACAGCGTTGCTGGTAACTCGGGCTTTAGATGGAAGCCCACAGGAGTGGATGCAGGGGTGGGAGTGATTTCAGTTTAGGAAGTTTTTCCCAGGCTGCAGGGTGCAGGTGGAAAGATGGCAGAAGGATGTGCAGGAGAAAATTAAAGAGAAATAGTGTGCCCTTGTCCAGATGCAGATATCCTGCCATCTTCCTGCAATGCCCAGTGAACCCAGCGCTCTAGAAATGCACTTCTGTGGGCCACCACCAAGCTGCACTCTCCTGAGAAAGTAAGCCCCTTGCCTTGGTCTGTCCCTGACCTCTCCTCCAACCCTGTTCACTGAGTTATGCAGAGTTGGCTAATATTGAAACAGTTGTTCCTTTAACTGGCCAAAAGACTGTGATCCAGTCCAGCCAAGGCAGTGGGGAGTCCCATCAATAACAAAAGTCTCCAGTCAACTTGGAAACCGGCAAAGCCTCATATGACAGTGACTGCCGCAAAAAGAGAGGTCTTGTTATAGGAACGCGGTCTCCCTTGAGCCATGCGCATTCCTCCAGAGCTGAGAAACCAGGGCAAATCGCTATCAGCCAGACCCCAGCCCACACAGCACCCATACACCTGGTCCCTTTGGGTTTTAATGGGCCAGCCTGACCCTCATCTTCAGACCTGAGTCCACTTCAGTCCGCAAATGGGAGCCCCTTCCCTATTTTCTCTTACTTGCCTTTGTTAGGGGGACCGCTGGATCTTTGCAGATCTCTCCCTACCCTCATTTTCTCTTTCTTTCCTATTAAACATTTCTCCTCTAAATTTAAGCAAAATGCCTCAGTTTTAATTTCTATGGTCATTGAAGCCAAGACCTGTATGAGCTGGTGACACGAGCAATCTGACACATCTAATATCACATGTAGGTCTATAAGTATGCTTCAATTAATTTATTTCCACTTACTTAAGTTACTAATTGGCTAATTTTTTTCAAAGAAAAGTCGAAAGTATAACAGAAGTGAAGCACAGATCTCTGAACAGGAGATATGAAACTATCATTTGGCTGAAGAAGTAAAAACAAAGACAATACTTATTTATTGTAGTATCATACATGTTATTTTTTAGAATTTACCTTTTACTTATACATTATTCCTTTAACCATTCTATGTGTATAATTGATTTCTCTTGTCTAGCTTTATGCTGAATATTTCTAGTGTGGTGTTCAATAGCTCTACCTCGACACTATTTAAGTATCTTCAGAACTAAGACTTAGGTCTAGGGATCAATCTTAGGCTTCTTTATTAGCTGCACTCTCTCTCTCTCTCTCTCTCTCTCTCTCTCTCCCTCCTGTCCTCTTCTACTTTGCTT